AAAAGGGAAAAGAACACAAGGATTCAGAATTTAAAAGAAAATGTTAGTATCATTTAAAAGAAGAGCCCAACAGGTAGGAAATAACGTCAAACTGAAATCTAGTTGGTGAAAAAAGAAATTCAATACTCACAGCAAGAGCTCAACAAGTCGAGGACAGACACCTGCCTCAATCACAGCTTGAATTTTGTCATTAGTACCATCTGAAAGATATGAGAGGGCCCAACATGCATCTGTAAGGACTTCTTCATCATTTGAATGTATGAGGCGTTCAAGAGCTGGCAGAGCTGGCTTTGTCTGCTTATCAAATTTCAAAAGTACCATGTATCAGCAACAGAGATAAAATATGTAGGAAAAAATTCTACAAGCTCTATCTGCTTATCCACACAAAAAATAAAAAAATAAAAATAAATAAATAAATAAATCGCAACCTGCTCAAAAGCTGGCTGTGGCTTGCCCCTGCAGAAGTTCGACAAAGTCCAAGTTGCATTTCTCAACATTGAGAGCTTAGCATGCTCATTGAATTGTGCAAGGAGTGGTTGCAAGGCCCCATGGCTAAGTACAAGATCACGACATTTAGGAGAGTCTCCAGCTATGTTTCCTAGTGCCCACACAGCCTACAATTAAGAACAGGTACAATCAATCCACTAGAGCAAATAATAATACAAAGCCATAAAGACAACCAGAAGCCAACCAGCAGCATACAATCTTACCTGTTCACGCACATCATGAGTTGGAGATCCTAAAAGTTTAACAAATATGGGAACAGCTCCATGATCAATGACGACCTTGGTGTTTTCAGATGTTCCAGATGCAATATTGGTGAGAGCCCAAGCTGCCTCAAACTACATTATACCCAAAAACAGTAGGAGAACACGTTAAGACGAGACTAGTCAATCAAAATAATACAAACAGATTTAAGCTCAACCCAAATTAACTAGCAACTAGTAAAAGAGTCAAACCTGAAGCTGTGGGAAATCATCCCTCACAAGAAACTCAACAAAGCGAGGAACAACACCAGATTGTACAACTTCATTAATGGGAGGACTGCGCTCTGCACAGATTCCAACTTAGAAGTTAATATCGTAATTGTGAACAAAATAAAGGTAACATAATAATAAGATCAAACTCTCAACCTATTGAAAGCAGCTTCCGGAACTGAGTGGTTGCCTCAAGCTGGGCGTTACCATCATCCGACCAAACGCCGGCAACCATAGCTGGAAGACTTTCTAACTGCAATTATTGTAGAAATGTAAAATTCTCAATTGGTTTCACAAGAAAAAAAAGCATCTGCCTATTGCTAAAATCAATATACTAAGCCGCCTGAATCAAATATCAAATCCAGAAAATGTCTATCAGATAGAGAAAAAACATATTTATGAAATCAGCAATGATTAACCCTAATCCCCACTGATGATCCCACCGACTAAATTGACAAACAAGCCGCTTTCGAAATCAAAACAAACCGCGAATCCAGAAATCCCAAACGGATTATTAAAAAATCGAAATACCTTCTTATCGGACACAGAAGAGGCGGAGAGGAGTTGCTGTTGCTGGTTTTGCTGGCTAAGAAGTCCTTCGCGACGCTTCTTGAGCAAGTTCTCCTCTCTCTTGTTCTTCCTGATCTCGACCATATTGTCCTCCCTCCTCCTCCGACCTTCCTCGGCATCCACCGCCACCTTGTACCTGTTCCTACGTACCTCAGTCCTCACGCTAGGTCTCAGAGACATGGTTGCTCTTCGCCTTAGTTCCCTATTCAATCAAAATCAAATCGAATCGGGTTGATTACCGATCAAAAAGTACGACGGATTCTATAGAACTGATCGGCCGTAGAGAGAGAGATAGCGACGCCGGTAAAGAGAGGGTTTTTAAAGTGTCGTTCAAGATGGACAGACCAGTACGGTAAAGAATTATATATAGGATTTTTAAAAAAAAATTAAATTAAATTAGTTTATTTATTTTTAACTTTTATAAAATGGGCTCTGATGGGGTGTTAATTACGGCAACACCACTCATTTGGATTTTGAAATTGGGAACCCTAACGTTCTTATCCTCCACCGTACATATTCAGCTAAGAAATCAAAGTATTTTTATAATAATAATAATAATAATAATAAAAGCAACTAAAAATTATCAAAATACTTTTATAATTTAGTCTTTTACGGGGTTATATTTTTATGGGGCTATATTTGGTACAACGAGTAGAATGTCTTTTTAAATTTTAAAAGTTTAAATTGTACCAATATTACAATTTGTTAAAAGTATTATAACTTTTCATAAGTTAATATTTTGTTAATTTTATTGCAAATCTTAGAAACATCAAATTAGTGCTTCTACAAAAACTTTTCATTTGAGTTTTAATAAAATTAACACATTGTTCATATTATTTTATTTTATTTTTATTTTTCTTCCTATTTACAAAAACAACATTTCTACAGTATTTTCTTTCTAACAAAACTTTTATTAAAAGCTTCAATTATACCAAACAACCACATAGTAATTTATGATATACAAGTGGATTTATTATCCTATTTTAAATAATTAATATAATATTTTTTTAATATAATTATTTATTATATTATAAGGTTATATTTTATAACTATAAATTTAAAATTATGATGTATTATTAAATAAATATATATAATATTACAATTAAATGTTTAAATAAAAAATTAATTAAATAATGATATAAAAAAATTTATTAAAAAAATATAATTTTAATTTTATAATATTATATAATATTATAATTATATCATTTTTGTGTGAGTGCAAAAGCCTTGCAAGTGTATGCAGTGCAAGTTATTACAATTAAATGTTTAAATAAAAAATTAATTAAATAATGATATAAAAAATTTATTAAAAAAATATAATTTTAATTTTATAATATTATATAATATTATAATTATATCATTTTTGTGTGAGTGCAAAAGCCATTGCAAGTGTATGCAGTGCAAGTTTCTATTGTTTAAGGTGCAAATAAATTATTAGGCAAGTGCATAAATCTTGTAATTGTGGAGCCTTAATCTCTAACTCGGAAATCATTTAACTTGATGTTTCATTGGCATTTTTATGCAAAAGAAACATAATATTTTTAATTAAAAAGAAATGCCTAAATGTTGATTCTTTATTTTCATTTTCAAAACTAAAGTGAATAATTATTTATTTGCATATTATGACATGACATCAAATAAATAAATGTATATAAATTTAAATTTTATTAAATAAAAGAGTTCATCACTCAATTATTTATTTCTTATCGTTAAACAAAATATTATAAAAAATGTTTTAACTCATTAATCATTTTCAAATAATTTTTTTGACATCATTTTTATTTTTTTTGGGCCAGCTTGACACCATTTTACAATAATAATTCTTTTGTTGAATCATTTTCAAATAATTATTGAAGTCTTCTTTGTAGTGCTAAGAATAATAATGGTGCATGGTCCAAAGATAAGAGTACATTCGTCCTTGGTGGCATGAATACACAATTGGTATCTTTTGCTTTAAAATTTCCCCTTTTTTGGGGTAATTTTGGTTTAAATTTTCTATCAAGCAACAAGCTGTCATGGATTATATATGGTATGTAATTTCCCCATTTTAAGTAATTTATAATTATCATTGTAAGGTTGAGGTTGTCTTTCTATAGATTACCCATATATTCATGCATTGTCTTTGTAGTGAGAAAATATGCTTTTTATGCACAAAGAAGGAAATTTATATATTTTTATAGAAACAAAGCGAAATGAAAGTTTAAATTAAATTTTGGGTTGGCCATAAAAAAAAAAAATTATAGAAACAAAACATACATATTTGGTCTAACTTGCTTAGGCCAATCTATCAATCCTAAATTTTGTGTTTGTTTGATTAATCATTTAAAACAAAACGACTGGAGACCCAATTTTGTTGCAATTGGCCCAAACAAAAGCTCAAACCTAGTGGGCTCTAATCTGGTCCATTAAAAAAAATAAACAACCTTTATATCAGCGATAAAGCCAGAAACATAAATCTTGAACCCAACTACTCCATTGGATTGGACCCCTTTTTTCCCCTTGTGTTATTCTATTCATCTATCATCCCCAAGAATGGAGTTCGAGGCTTAGTTTAGCATATAATTGTATGCTTTTCAAATTTTTAACCCCTTAAAAATATATAAAATATATTTAATATTTATTTAAATTAGCATTTTATATATTTTAAAATAATAAAAAAATATAAAAATTAAAGTATTAAGAAACGTTATCAAATGAAACCAAATAAGGTAAGCTCTAAGAACTAAGAACACTAGAACCTAGTTCCCCCACTCAATCTTAAAAGACCTTTTTGAAATTTTAACAAATAAAACCACGTAAAAATTGATTAAATAAAAAAAAGACTACTACAACCTATTAACTCTTTTTTCATTTTTATTTTTCTTAATCTTCTTTCCTTTTCCATTCTCTAGTCATATCCTTGTACTCGTACTCCAACTAAATAGCCCAATAGAAAATTTTCTTTTATTCTTGGAAGACAAACCAAATTAAAAATACGAAATTAATCACAGAAAAAAACAAGAAAAATGATGAAAGCCCCCCTATATAATTAACCAAATGTTCATCTTCATGCATGCGTGCATGCATTTTAACATATTTGTTCATTCGTTATTCTTCATCAGCAATGCAACGGTTGATGTCATCGAGATTTTGACGCCTAATTTGCTGATAAAACTGATTTATGAACTCCTCTGCCTTGGCATCAATCATCTCATCGCCTTCGTCATCATAACACCGATCCCTTTCCTCACCTGAGCACTCCACAAGATCTTGAAGATTCGGTTCTGAGGTGTACCAGCTCATGCGGCCAAACGTGGAGTAGCTGGAAGAGGACGCAGTATCTTGCATCGGCGAGAAAGATGGCGTGAATAATTCCTCAGAAACAAAAGCCTGCTCAGGCGAAGAAAGGATACGCCTGTGATGTTTGTCATGGAGAGCTGGTGGTGGGGAATGTACGACGTTGTTCGGTAGGTGCATGAGACGCATTGACCCGAGGAAAGTCCTCCAGGAGCCCTTGGAGTCGACGTCGTCGATATCCATGGATATGGATTTGGACTTGCTTGGTTTCTTAAGCAGGGAATAAAGTGCGGATTTGAGGGCATGGAATGCGCTGCGTTTCTTCTTGGGCAAAGGCAAGCGGTTTGGAGGAACAGGAGCCTTCTTTTTCTCCAAGGGGATGCAGGTAAGGGTTGTTTCGTCTTCTTCCATGTCTCGATCAGGTGGGAAGAACAGAGAAAATGAAGGGCTCCTGATCAATCCCTGCGCAGTGCAGGGAGAGATGAGAGGGAAAAACCCTCAAGATAGAGTTGAGGAGGTGGGGGGCTTGGAGAAGACACGGCTTGGAGAATCCTTTATATATGGGGGAGTTAACGTGTTCCTTATACATTTTGCTAATGTAATTAAGTTCGAACAGAATATTCCCCAACATGACTAAATTAATTTCTGTACGTAACCACAATTAATATCGTTAACTTCAAAATTTTCACTAGGGTTACCAAAATGGAAAGAGAAAAGTATCAATAAAAGAAGATCAGTTTTTCCATATGGATTAAAGGGGGATTGATACAAAAATTTGAAGTTAGTGATTAAGAGTAACAAAAGAAGGTTTAAACAAACCGAAAAAGAAAAAAGAAAAAAGAAAAAGAAAAAGAAAAAGAAAAAAAAAACCGATTGATATACTTTCTAATTTGATACACTTTTTGATATTTAATTTAATTTTAAAATATAATATCAATACAATTGATTTAGTTAATTCTTGAATACTGTATGCATGTGTACCTCTTTAATTGTCTACCTTTAGTTTCATGTTAAAAAATAATAATTTTTTAAATAAATATGTTATATAATAAATTAAACCGAAGAATATATCAATTATTGTAAAGAAATAATAATTATCAATTGCTAATTGTTACAACAGCAACTATAACTTTATATATTCAAATAATAATAATAATAATAACTTTATATATCTTTATCTGTTGTATTTAAACCATTAATCTACTGAATCAATGTGAAAATAAATAAGAGGAAAAAGGGCAAAATGCGCGTTGCAGGGAAAAGAATTGAATAACAGTGGCGAAAATGTCGACTAACGGCGCCTGAGAGGTGGAGGGGGTCTCTGGGAGCGTTGCTTGAGAAGTCGGAATCGGGTTGGGTGGTGTTTGGGATGGTTGGACGCCGCAAGTTTCTGTGTGTTGAGATGAAGAAGTCAACTCTGTCTCCATCCATCGACAGCTTTCAATGAATAGAGGATACAAGTCAAAACCAAAACCGGAATTGCTGGAGTGGAGACTGGAGAGAGCCAGCTTAGAACATGCACTAATGCAAACATGCCACAACCATAATCAAGCTGGGTGGGGCTCGCCCCATCCCCAAATTGCCCATTAATACTCCCCCATGATGTATTATTCATCGAAGGTGTATTTGGTATGAAGGAAATTAAATAGAGAGGAGGGGAGGGGAGGGAATGAAGGAATTTTTTGACTAATTAAATTGCAATAACAAAAGTTATAATTTGATTCATTAAAAGATCTACCTCTCTTCTTCCCTCTCTACTTTTTTTTTTTTTCAAACCAAACATATATTTTTTTTTTTTCATTGCATAATAGGAAGCAACCATCTCCAATCCCTTATCCTATTCCATTCGCATGCTATACGACTTGAACTCAAAACTTTTTATTTTTAACGAATATGAATAACTACTGAATTACTTAAATCGTTAATTAAACCAAACATGCTTTTATTTTAAAAGAAAAAAAAATTGCCTAGTACATTTTCTCTTTTATTTTTATTTTCTTTTAAATAAAGGAGCTACCGAACACTCGGTAGATTCCAAGAGTACATAACCCTCATCTTAAAAAAATGATTAGGTGAGAATATTTTTCCGCGATAAAATTTTGCAACCTAAGATGTAGACTCTTTTAATTCAATATATATAAGCTGTGTGAATTTGTTTGCATCACTTATTGTGTAACGTGAACATTAATTATAAATTAAGTCTATACTCAAATTTTATTATAAAAAAATCACAACAGTGATTTTAATCAAAATCCAACATCTAATCATTGATCATGGTTATATATTGACCAGTACATGTTTAGCCAAATTAAGCGAATTTAATCATTTTATTTGGGAAAAATGATTGAAATTTGAAATACATAGCTTAATTTCCTGGAAAGAGCAAAGTTTTT